GCACAACGTATGGAACCCAGTAGCAGCCTGGAGTCAGCATGAGAATTCATTTTCTTTATATAAATTAATTCTTGCTCTAAAAATGTCACTGATAGACTGCTGGAAGCCTTTGCTAAAACTGTTCATGTGTGTAAAGGGAAGGCTGGTGATGTTTTTGTTAGATCTTCCTCTTGACCCTGCGACAATAAAGCAAGTAGAAGTAAATGATGAAATGTTGTCTTCAAAATATGCTTTGAAATCTTTTACATGTTTTAAAATTGTGTTGCAATCAAAAGTCAAATCAGGCTGTGGAATACTGCAAATATATTTCACATGCAGGTATTAATAAATAGAACTCGAATACATTTTCTCTGTCAAGATTCAGCAGTGCACACACATTCCTTTATTTATTTTTTATTCTGACGTATGTACATCTTTGTGTGTTTGAACAGGGCACACAAAAAGGTTTTACAATATATTTTGGTTTTACTGCAGTCAAAGTCTTCTTTTTCTTTTTTTTTTAAATTAAAATTAAGGACTTCACAATCTGCAGAATCATTTATTAATCAGTCACATCGTTTTAATGAGATTCCTCCTGTCATACGTAGTTAAAATTTTAAGGCATGTCTCTTCTGGTCAGGATCAAGAGTTTTCCATTAACTAAAAAAACATTAAAAAGGTAAAACATTTTACCTCAATCTGTCTTGATCACTTCTATGGCAGCGTGACTGACAAGAGGGCAACCTTTCTGGGATTCTACAGTAAACAAATTGGTACAAAAAACTAAATAGGGTAAATAAACAGAAAGCAGACATTACAGAAATTCTGCTGAATTAAAAACAGTCATTGACCTAAAATGTTTATATGTGTTTACAGCTTTATGAGGTAATGCAAAAATATTTCCATTTTCTTAATCAAAACTGTAAAAAAATAAAAAACAAATTTGAAAGATGATGAAAACTTAAATTTGTAAGTAGAAAAGTTACCAAATGTAATTAAATTAGGTTAATTGTCTATTTTCTGTCGGCGTTCGCATTCTTTCCATAAAATCCCAAAATTAAATGTTTACTATTGTTTACTTTTGGGGACGTATTCTACCGCCGCACCGCACGGGGGCGGTATAATACTACCGGACAACACAAGAAGCTTCAGAGTCAGCTAGCAAACAGCTGGGAAGGGAGGCAGGAGAAAGAGGGAGAAGTAACGTCCTTCCTCTCCTTGCTTTGCTTCTGTAGCTGATAATTGAGTGTTTTTTTTTCTGGAAGTTCGTCTAGTAGCTGCCTTCAGTTGGTAAGCAGCGAGCATGTCAGCGGTGCTACGGTGGGAGCTAAGCTAACAGCTGGGCAGCGCAGTTCTCGGAACTCGATAGCATCGATGAGGGAAGCTAACCCCGCCTTCAGAGTAGTAAACAAGGCTCCCCATCTCGTCCTGACTTAGCTGGCCCCCTAACAACGACAGAAGCCAGCAGAATGACAGGTGAGACAAACATACCTGATAGCAACACTCTTTTATCTGAACCAAGTTTCAGTTCTTTGATGGGCTCTTCGGTTTTTATGGTTTTCTGGAGTCTTTTTTGTTTTTTAAGGGTAAACTAACACGACTGCTTTTCTCAGAGGATGCCGTCCTGCTGAATGTACCCGTGATTCGGCAGCTGTACCACTGGGACTGTGGCTTAGCCTGCTCCAGGATGGTTCTGAAGTAAGTTGTTGTTGTTTTGATTGTTTGAAACCAGTCACTGAACACATCAGAGCTCCAACGGAGCTGGAAAAAATGTTTAATGTGAAACTGAAACCGCCTCAGGGCGGCCAGTACTAACAAAGTCAGTGGTGTTTTGGTGAAACCCGGGGTGTTCTCTTCCAGGTACCTGCACCCGGTGAGCGATGAGGAGTTCCAGAGAGCATGCTGGGAGCTGCAGCTGACGGAGAGCGTGTGGACCATTGACCTGGCCTACCTCATGTGTCATCTCGGGGTCAAACACTGCTTTTACACGCAGACTCTTGGTGTAGATAAAGGCTTTAAAAACCAGGTATGCTCCAGACTCTGAGCGCACACTCACATTTCTCTATAGTCTGTGCACGAATGAATGTCTCCCGGTGTGGTTCACAGTCTTTCTATAAGAAACATTTCGATACGGAGGAAAACCGGGTGAACAGACTGTTCTTCAAGGCGGAGAGCAAAGGTGTGGTGGTGAAGAAGTGGTGAGTTTTCTGTTTATTCTCTCTTGAAGACCTTTTAAAGTATGCAGCTTTTATTTTGTTTTTACATATTTGTTTAAACTGTTGCTGTGTTCTTTCTGACCGATAATCTTTGAAACAAATTGAGTTCCTCAGCTTTCTCAGAGAAATTCAGAAAGACCCAATCAGAGGCAGGGTGAGGGTTTTAGCAATAATAACATGCAAGTATTTGCATGTTATTATTACTACATCTTCAGAGAGCCTCCCATGAAAGCTAAGGCTAGTTAGCATAGCCACGCTTGACAAAAATAAAATATGAGGGATTATAGTTCATTTCTTTTGCATTGCAAAATGTAGAAGTTTGCTGTATAAAAATGCCTTGTTTCAGAATAAATAGTGAGTATAAAATATGATCTAAATCATTAAGTTGTTAAATATATCTATATTTATAGAGGAACCTGAAAAAGCGTTTCTGAGTCATCATCATTTATATTTCCAAAGTGGATATTCATCATATTCTGTCGAGTCTAAAGCTTCTCTCTCCATCCCTGGTTCCGCTGCCAGCTTTTACTCAATAATGAAGTTTTGCTTTTCTTTTTTTCTTTTTTCTAGTTCAGTAACCATTCAGGAAATCCAGTCTCATCTGGAGCAGGGTCACGTGGCCATCGTGCTGGTCAACGCTGTTGTCCTGACGTGCGAGTCGTGCTCTTCGCCCGTCAAGTACTGCTGCTTCCTGCCCGTGGGGCAGAAGTGTTTCTGCAGGAAGCCGGAGTACCAGGGCCACTTTGTAGTCGTGTGTGGCTTCAACAGGACCTCCAGCTGCGTCTTCTACAACAACCCTGCGTATAACGACCGTGAGTTTGTTCAACGGGGGACGGCAATTTCACAATTCTGTCGGTTCATGCTTAGTTTTCACCAGACGTTGATGAGACCGATCCAAAGCTGCTGCTTCCTCCTGTGTAGAACAGTTTAACATCTGACTTTTTTATTTTCATTAGGCTGCAGGCAGCATTTAAGAAATGCTCATTGTCAGTTAAGCACCTTTTGCTACCCAGTAATTCAGCTGATAGAAAAAATGAATCGACAGATCAGCTCTAAACTGTAGTGATGAGTCGAGCAGAAAGGAGCTTTCCACATGTTGATGTTTGAAACAGCCTTTGCTACAAATGAGCAAACATTCACTAGAGAAATGTTGCTGCGTTTGAGGCAATAAAATGTTTGTTTTTTTACTTCAAAAATGTATTGATATAATAATCGATTACTAAAATAATCATTAGTTGCAGCCTTCATACTGTTTTCCAACTAACTCCTACAAAGACTTACTGTTTTTAATTTCTGTGTGTGTACCGTGTTGTTAATATGTGTGGGGACCATTTTCCTGACAAATATTAGGTTTTGGAAGCTTGACAAACGTGTGTGTGTGTGTGTGTGTGTGTTGCCCAGGTGTGTGTTGCACCAGTATCAGTAACTTTGAGGAGGCCAGGCGGAGCTATGGAACAGATGAGGACATCCTCTTCGTCTTCAAGCAGAGCTGATGGACAACAATAACACCTTGACTCTTCATCATCAGCCTGACTGCAGCAGCTCCCAGGTCTAGCGGCGCCACCTCTGGTCTGCTGTCAGAACTACAGCCAGCTTTTTTTAAATCTTTTTGTTTCTTCCACTCTTGCTCCAAACCTCAACAGTTCACCCCACTGATGGATGTAAATGTTCACAAGCCAAAACCTCTTCATCTCAGATGGATTATTTTTCTACTCCACTGCATCAGATGAGCAGTGTTACTGTGACATAGTACAGATTTTTCTGTACAAATTTTACTGTTTCAATTTCGACGTCTGCAGCCATTCTCGCTCAGCGGATCAGTCGAGCCGTTAAAACTCCTCGGAGTTTGGAGGAAATATTTGGGGGAAAACGGGGCGTCGAATGTGAATTACCAGAGACTGACATGCACATTATTCAGGGCTTCTCTTTATGACTGAGAGTATTGTGCATTTACTCTACTTGTTGTGTTTATCAATGTGAAGCTGCTCACCTTTAACCCCCTCCAGCCTCGCCTCTACCTGCCTTTAAGAAGACCCCACAGCTCCCTTCTCATCCACAAGCGTCTATGAACAGGGAAAACGGAGCGTGGCGGTGTTTTGATCGTCTCAGGTATTCAATGTTCTGAAGCGTACCAGCACTGGATCAACACGGTGTTCTGTATGCTGGACTCCGCGCGGCACCGAGAGACAAAGGTTTGTCGGGTTCGCTAACTTTACTGGAGAAACGACACGAGTCGAAGCGATTGGTCTCGGGTCGATGCCGATTGGTCGGATGGATTCTATTAACTCTAGGTGATTTTTCTCATTGCCCCTCAGTTTTATTTTGTTTTAAGTTGCGGTAATGTATATACATCTTTGCACTACATTCTTCTTTTGTTTTTTTTTCATACCAGACTCGATTGTGTTATTTAAAAGTGAATCTTTTTCTAGTGCTACAAAATGTCTGCGCCGTCTGGTCCTGCTCTCTGGTGGAAACAAACGGCACGTTTTAAAACCACAATCTTTATTTTTTTTAAAACACAGAACTGCATTTATTATGAGCTGTAATTAAACAATTTCCACACATGCTGCGTTCAGTCTGTCTCTTAAGTGAGTCAATAAAATATCTTAGAGGGGCGGTGTTATGTAAAATTCACTTTTTTGATTATGTCGTCAAAAAAACATGCCGGGAGTGTTGCTCTGATTATTTCGTGCATTTTGAGAAATCCTTTCACCATTTGGGGGGTTCAAGACAGCTGAAACATAATACTGTCCCTTTAAAAAAATGATTTTTACCTACCTAAAGGAGGATAAATTATGAAAATGTTTTTTTTTTTAGTCCAATCAAAGTGGACCCTTTAATTTATTACCATCTTACAGTGAATTTTCCACACACTTGCATATGTGCATTAAATCTTCCAGCAGATCTTTACTGAACTGAACAATCACTTGTTCATAGAGGGCGCTGCTCTTTGTGAGGTTATACGTTCTACTCCTTTATTATTTTGGGTTTGAAGTCAGGTCTTACAGCCTCTCCCAGTTTTTCTGCGTACTCTGCGTACCGCCCAGTCATCTGCAAAATAAGGTGCAGGAAGGAGAATCAGTTGAACTGTAGATGAGAATGCAATCATCATACTAATAACCACTTATTAAAGAGATCAGAAAGAGGTGTCTTAAAATGTATTTTAATTTAAATCAATATAAATAATTTAGATATACTCAAATGATTTCGTAGTTGTTTTTTTACTTTTCTGTGTGGTGTAAGTGACCTTTGATGAAATGTTATGCTGGAAAAAGGCAACCATAAGCCTCAAAGTCTTGATGTGGCTCATCTGCCTGCAGCCTGCACTTTTCATTTTGATGATTATGACAAATTATGACAAAATCCAACACCTGAATGATCAGGAAATCAAAATCTCACCAAAAGATTCTGATTAATAAAATCTTAAACCCATCTTTTAGCTATGTTGGAAGCTGCTGATAGTCAATTACAACCTCAATAAAATTACAAAACATCACTGCTAAAACTCCCTGTTGAATGCTGCAACCAAGCATAGCATTGGAAAGTTGAGTGGATGGATGAAGTGCAAAAGAAATAGGTGCATAACTACAACTTCCAGAAAATTGAGATGCAACATGTACATGAATTGCCTATTGAGGTAAGTTTGTCCAGGACTTTAAAACCACTAATGATTTCTGGAAGGAGGCTGGACTTCTCTTGATTCTGATCAGATTTTGGATCAGATGTGAAACAGGAGAAGTTCATTTCCCTTCAGTTTTAGCTCTTGGGGTCGCCACGTCTGACAGTGCTAACCTCTATCAGATCTTGCTTCCCTCTCCTGAACAGTTTTGTGGCGAGCAGGGGTATGAATTTATCGTATTGTTTATTGTGATAAATTTTGATTTAGAGAAATTCCAATAAATAAATTTTAAAATGTCGTAAACCCGTCATTGTCTGGATTGTGATATATATTTATACACATATCTATTATTTTACCATATTTTTCCTCATTGTACAATAAAGATGTATCATTAAATATCAATAAAATTGAAAACATGATTGTTGCGGTTTGCAGATTTCTGATATAAATCACACGTCTTAATGCGACCAGAGTCCTAAAGAGGCATATTACAAACGGGAATGTTTCTCAGCCATATTTGTGTTTGTGTGGCTTTGACTGCTGTGTCACTTTTATTGTCGTCACAATAGTACCACAGAGTAAATTTAAAACGTTTAAGTCCATATTGAATTGTTTGAGAAACAGAATTGTACGTTTTTGTTGACTCTATGCCATAATCATCAAAAACTAACAGGACAAAATGTCTGAAATACAGCGGCCTGAGTGATCACTTGAATACGACCTGCACTGAATGATTAAACTAAAACTCAATAACTCTCTGAAGGAGGGTGACTGTTTTACCTTAAAGCTCCATTTGTCGCTGACTTGTCTGTTGAGATTCAGATCCAGCTCCACCACCAGCAGTCCGTCTCGGGTCCTAGAGAGACCCGGGGTGCGGCTGCCGTCAGGACCGGCCACATAACTGGACCCATAGAAGTGACCAAAGTCATGGTGAGCTGGAGAAAAAAAAAGAAGTCACAAGCGCTGTTGTTGTTGCTCTCTTATAAACGTTTCTTTTTGTGGGAGGTTTTCTCGCATTTTGTCAGGTTACAAACACAAACTTCACTGTATTTTATTTGTGTCCTTTATATGACAGATCATGCTTTGGGTTGGTTTATCACCTAGATTCAAACTAAATTGCACTGAAGTTGTGGAGTGGAATAAAACAAAATGTGCAAAGATTGAAGGGATATAAAAACTTTGGCCAGACTTGTGATAAAGTTTCAGCTTCTGCTATAAGGCTGAAACCAAACATTCGAGGTCGCTGCTATAACTACTCCATGTTGCTGAAATGTCATGAAAAACACAAAAAACATTATAAATTTGAGAGGAGAAACTGTATACCTTTCTTTCCGTCCCCAGATGTGAATTCACTTTTGAAGTGTTCCTGTTGAAAACATATTTTCCTACATGATTAAATCTGTCCTGCTGAATCAACATGGGCCAGTGTTGCAGAAACTCACTGTCCCGACACGGTTGATGGCACACGTGAAGCAGTGATTGGCTATCGCTGCGTTCCTGGCCTCGATCGGCCACATGGGCTCGCTGTGGAGGACAAACACAGCTTTCCGTACACAAACAGAGGCAACAACAAAGAACAAACTCAGTTTTCAACTGTCATTAAAGCTGCACAAAAACAGTCCTAGCCCTAACAAAATCAAGCTAGTCCACTTCCTGTCTGAGCTGCTGCTGCTACCAACTGTGCAGCTGTTTCCTATCTACAGTGGCTCTAATATACCAAGGTACATCTACCTTTTCTCTCTCTCTCTCTCTCCCTCATCCTGTTTCCTACCTCAGAGCTCCAACGGTGGCTGAGGGGTTGAAGATGATCTCGGCTCCGTTCATGCTGTACATGAACCAGTTGAGTGGGTGGTGGCGCCCGTAGCAGATGTTCACGGCAAGCTTCCCGAACTGCGTCTGGAACACCGTGTGGCCCGTGTCGCCCTCCATGTAATACGTGGACTGAGGGCGAGGAGCGAAACACAGTGTTCTGCTGCGCTCCACAGCTGCAGAGAGCTCACGGGGCGCCTGCTGCTAACCTCATTAAAGTCTCCCACCCTGGGGATGTGGTTCTTCCGACTCTTTCCCAGCACGTTTCCTGAATTGGAGATCACCACCGCGGTGTTCCACAGAGTGCTGTGCAGCTCCTCTCGCTCAAGAATTGGGGAGATGACCACCATGTTGTGCTTTTTGGCGAGCTTGCAGGCAGGATGAGACAGAATAGTGAGGGCTGCGCGTCGTGTTATTTTAGCGCTAGCAACTTTGGGTCATCTCACCTCCTGGCAGAACCGCGTGGTGTTCCCTTCCTCTGCAGACTCTGCAAACTCCGTCCACGGCTCTTTCTCCCGAGTGCAGAAAGCAAACGGCATGGCTGTAAAAACAGAGAGCTGGTTCATGTGCCATGAATAGGTTTACAAACACTTTATGGTCTATTAGTTCCAGTCGATTAACTAACAACGTCCTCTGAGACCTTCTTTTAGTGTTGTGGTCTGGCATCCAGCAGAGGGCGCCGCTGGTCATCCTTTAGCGGAGCCAGTGGATACAGGAATAAAGATGGCGGTGGCCATACCAGAATGAATTCGGTGTGGGATGCAAAATATGTTTTATGCGGTTCTGTTTTGAAAAATACAAACACTTTAGTGTTTGTATTTTTGTATTTTTGCAATCCGGCAGAACTGCGTGGCGGAGCAGCGTCGATATATCAATCAAAAATGATTGGTGTGCTACGAAGGCGGGGATGTGATGATGGAAAAGCAGAGGGGATAATGCAGAAAAATCGCTGGAAAAAACATGATATAGATTAACTCATTGATCAACCGCTTGCATCACTGGCCATGAGTGTATTAGCTGTGTGAACTCACTCCAGGTCTCCTGGAAGCAGATGACGTTAACGCCACACATGGCGGCTACCTCCACGATTTCCCCGATGCGGCTGTGCATGGCGCCGACCTGTGAGCGGCGGGAGAAGATCTCATGTGTGTAATCCAGCACATCCCACACATGACCAGTGAGAAATGGATCTGGTCATGGTTCTGCCTCGGCCGTGTCTGAATCTGGAAAACGTGGTGCTGACCTGGTCCAGGATCGGGGCGTCGGTAGGCAGGACGATGCGGTGCTGAACCAGGCCCACTCGGACTCTTCTGGGCGGCCTCAGCTGCTCCTGCGCGGCGTCAAACTTGTAGCCTTTCAGCTCAAACTGCCGCTCGGCTGCAGCTTCCACAGCGCAGGGTGGGAGAACCAACTTCCTGTGAAAACATTAGATTTCTGCCTCAGCCCAGCAGGAAAGCACGGCGGCGGCGGCGTCATGCTGCACAGAAAAGCTCTTTCAGGAGTTGGAATGGTTGACTAGAACATTAACCCAGGCTAAAGGAATGGAGTGTCTTTGACAAACACGCCACTTGAGCTGAGAGAAAAATGCTCACAGAAATGTGACACGACGTGATGCCAGAAAAAAAAAAAACCTTGAAAAAACGAAGATGGTCAGAAACACTTCCTAATTGTTCCGATGGAGCTTGGTTGGATCTACCAAGAAAACTAGGAAATTATGCTTTCAAAGATAGCCGGCTGACAATAATGGAGGTACACAGAGGGTTCGTAGGTCAAATATGCCAAGAAAATCACAAGTTAAACAAAATGTTGGGAGAATCAGAATAAGATTTGCCTTGTTCTTCATGAATCTGCAGGGACACAGCCATCGACGGTGACTTTTGACATTCAGAGTTGAATTTCAGCCTTGAAAGCAAGAAAATGTTAAGCTGGACCAAATAATATTGTATTATAATATTGACATATTGTATTATTTTTAAAGTAACGTAAAAGGCCTTAAAAACTCTTCATCCAGAGGACGATTTGTCTGACATGATGGAAGATTCACTGCTTTGTTGTTTGAAAATATTTTGTTATTATTAGTAGCATTATTTTTAATTCTAAAATCATTCTAAAATGAAATTAGATGTGTCAAAAAGTCATTTGTGGAAAAAATGCTACAAATAACCAGTGACTTGTAGAGTGCTTGTTTTTCAGGCTTGTTTGACTTACATTTGCATTTGGTAAATAATTGATTTATATGTGCACAAGAAAATTCCAAGGACACTGTACCCTATCCTGACTCAGCAGACATAAAATACCATTTAAAGCAATACAAACAAGAGGTCTCACTTTGACATAAATTGCATTTTGGTGCGTTTTTAGGTTAAATCGTCTGTTTTCTTCAGTCTGTTTATACTTATTAGTGGGTGGAGGAGCCAGAAGTTGTACTTGGCTCAGATTAATGTAATTTCAAGTAATATTACTAAAGTAGAAGTAAAAAAAAATATGGTGGACTAAAAACTACTTTTAAAAAAAGTTATTAAATGTGACTAATTGAATAGGGTTTTTTTAGAGGAAAATCTAAACATTATGCAGCTTCAACAAAAAGGCTGGTTTATTTTTTGCACGTTTTTTTATTTTTATTTTTGATTTTATTTTCTTACGCAAACCAACGAGTTCAAATCATTTCCCTAAAGTGACGGTTCAATGTGTGAACTTGTCCATTCTCCTTTTGTGTGTTGACCGAAGTCCGCCCCGCGGAGTGATACCTCACCAGCAGGTCAAACAGCTCCATTAGCAACATTGAACAGGATAAAGCGAGAACTCACGGCGCTTCTCTCCCGAACAGGAGACGCTTCACTTCCGCCAGCTCGGCCTCCGGAAGGTGGGCCTCCAGACATTTCTCCAGCGACTCGAACTCGCACGCGGACATGTTTGTGCGACTTCCTCGCGCTCGCGCCTCCTCGGCAGAGCCTCGTGCCCCCCGGTCACTGTCTCTGTTTGTTCGAGTTCCGCTCGTTGTGCGGCTTATCTGTGTTTCTTCTGGTCTTTGGACCGGACAGGGGCGTCTCTAGAAAGTTCTGCAAAGGGGGGCGGCAGGATGGAGGGGGGCTGGAGGGCACTGATAACGTCGAGGTGGCTCAGCCACAAAAAGAAAAGAAAAAAAAGCTATATCAGAATATTTGGATGTTTATTTACATTTGTTGTTATGTTGAAACTTAAGGTGTTATTTTTTACTGCTTTAACTTAATAGTCTGAAAATTCAGACTATTTATTTGTTGAAAATAAATAACAAATTACAACATCCCTTCCTGAAACCTTTACTGTGTGCAGTATTCTTTGTTTCTTTTGTATACAGACATATTGAAAATTATTTAAAGCTGCAGTGACAGAAGAAAAAAAAAATTAGACGACCAAAATATGTTCTTCCCAAATGGAGCCCGGTCCAGCTTGCTGTCTGTCCTGCTGGTCAGTCACATCACTCCACATGGATTGCAGTGAGACTCACTGGACCTTAGTCTCTTATTTTCACGAGACGACAACCTGGAGCTGGGCTCCATTTTAACAGCAGCAGAGACAAAAAAGTGAGAGGGAGAGCAGAAACCTGTTATGCACTACAGTGACTGGAGATGTGCTGAGTTTAGACAATCTGATAGTGGCTGCAACAGAGACTGCAACTTGAAAGCAAAGCAGACATCACACTTTGGCTGCTGATATATAACTTCTTTCATTACATAAATCGGTACATCGCATATCAGTTGACAGAGTCGAATGCTAACAGTGGAAACGTTTCTTTAATCTGCTGGTTTTGATTAGTAATATGATGGCGGCTCACTTTTTGATGCGAAAACCAACATTGCAAGAAGGCATTCACTAAACAGTGAAGGAAATGACAAATAGTTAAGATTTCTTATTCCTGGCAGCTGGGGAGATGTTTCTACTCCTCTGTGTCCTCAGTCTTCTGACCTTTCTCTCCGTCTCTTTGTTGGGATTTGATAGTTTCTTCAGCGGTTCTGCAATAAAACAATAAATATTTTTTTTTTAAAAAGCAACAGGCGTCAGAAAATCATTTGGCCAGCAGGGGGACCCAGTGAGCCACCAGTGGTTTTCATCACCTGTAAACTCAGGGTGGCTCTTGGTGTTGTTCAGGAGAGAGACGTATCTGCAACCCCCCGATTCTTCATTTCCTTCTAGGAAAACATAAAAATAAAAAAAAATAATAAATCATAAACAACCCTAGCAGTCAGCTGCTGCCCTTCTGCATCACGAGGCGGCCTCACCGCAGACCCGCAGCAGGACGTAGAGCCGCCTGGCTGCCAGCACGCTGCTGGCCGGGGCCCCGCTGTGCTGCAGCGGCTCCAGGTTCATCACGCGGCCCCCGCTGTCCATCAGCTCCACGCGCTCTACGGAGGACCGTCCAGAAGTGTTTCACGGTACATCCGTTGCTATAGCAGCAGCTGCAGTGATGCTGTAACTCCTCTAAACAGACTGACATGACTGACCAACTGTCTGTTGGGGAGGGGGTCATTTTTCTTTATCTTTGACCCTCTTTGTTTTCTGACAGGAGAGCTTTTCTTTTCTGCCTCCCTGTCAGATTCATTTGTTTTATGACCATTGTTGAACAGAAACAAAAAAGGGAGGGGGGGGGACAAACTGAAATAAAATTTTGAGACTGACCTGAGAATTCTCTTGAAAAAATCTAGAATTTTTTTAGTTCAAAAAGTAAAAAAAAAAAAAAAAGGACTTTTCAAACATAGCATTTTCAAAAGTTGAAAATGTTACGTTTGTAAGGTTTTGACATTACAAACTCAGAAATTTACCATGGTAATTTTATTTTTTTTTAACTTTTCTTTGAACTAAAAAATTTTCTTGTTTTTTCAAGAAAATTTCTGAAATGATACTCAATTTTTTATTTTTTATTTTTTCAGAAAATGTCTGCCATCCATGCTCAGATGAAAGACTCTGTCTGCAGGTCGACAACTGCTCCATGCACTTCCAAAGGTCAGACCCGAATCTCCTTGAAAACTCGTGTCAAAACTCGTGTTCACAGACTTGGAGGAGAAACTGCAGTTAAATAAAATTCAATTGACTCATGGAGCCAAACGCCAATTTTCTACTATGTATAATCTGTCTTTATCATTTAACAGGTGTTTATTTTACACCATCACAACTACAATATGCAAGAAAGTTTTTGGCTGTAACATGAGAAAATAGAAAAAGTACAGAAACTACTGCATTGGATGAAAATGAAAGTTGAAAACAGAAGTTTGTTTGGTGAAACGTTCAATTTGAAGCCATGACTGACCCGTGCAGTTACCTTTGAAGTCCAGACCGCACTTTTCCTTCAGGTGATGAATGAAGTTGACCAGTTTACAGTTTAGGTTTAACATTTCCATCCTGCCGTCTGCCAAGATAAGCTCCTTTGTCAAACCAATAACAGCAGAAATCAACAATGTTGCAATACGAGTACAGGAAATGTTCTGACCTCCAAACAGGACAGTGACAAACATCCTCCAGCTCCAACCAACTCAACCACAGAGTCCAGGACGTTTGGAGAACAGACACCAAGTCCACACGTCTCCTCCCTCTTGTGGTGCGTACTTTTTGTTTCCTACGAACTCAGTGCTAAAGCGAATGAATGTGCCAGCTAACTACACACACACACACACACCCACACCCACACACACACACCCACCACACACACACACACACCACACACACACACACACACACACACACACACACACACACACACACACACACACGCACACACACACACACACACAACACACACACACACGTATGCCTGTGAATTCACCTCTTCTTTTCCTTCACAAAGCTCCAGTCTTGTAAATGAGGAGACAAAGACCCTTGTGTCCATGGAGTCTCTACAAACAGAAAGTTTGGCTCTCTGCGTCTCATTGATGTTTACTGGTCGGCGATGCCGAGACTGAGGGGAAAAAAATGGACTTTATAGTTTCACTGCTCATGCTGGGTAAAGAATCCAATCCATATTTGCAGGTTGTGCAGTCCGTACAGCATTACAAGAGCAGAGCGAGAAATTAGCAACTATGCTGTAATCTGGCTCATTTACAGTCTGTACAGAAGTATTGATTGTTCATCAATGTGCACTGTCCCTAATAAATAAAAAAAACAAACAAAAAACAAGAGTCCTAAACTGCGGCGTGTCTGCTGTAGGTCACTTCTAGTTCTGAGGAACCAAGCCTTTCTCCTGACCTGAGATGATCCTGACACACAGACGCCGTCAGAAGAAGGCCCAGCAGAGACTACGCTTCCTCATCGTATGCTCTGCCATGATTTAGTCAGTTCTGTGTTTGTCCAGTTTGGTTTAGTTCAGCATAAAACATTTCAGGACCAGAATAATTCACTGATATAAAAGGCATTAAACATGATGCAAGTTGACAGTGTCATGTAATTTTCAGCCTCCTTTTTAGCATTTGCATTTGGTAGCAGGCTAAATGGTCAAAGATAATGCAGCACTTTAAATCCTCAGTAGAGAAAGTCTCATAGTTTCAGTAAGTCAGTATAGGAAAAAAGTATCGGTAATATATCGATTATCGGCCAAATGAGTTTTAGTATACCACCATATCGTATATCTTCCAAAAATCCAATATTTTCATTTCTACTCTACATCCCTTGTGTTCAGTTTTTCTAACACAAAGAAAGAAAGCACCATTAACCAGTTTCTTTTGTAGTCCTGTATTCTATTGACAGTGCGGCGTTCTGATGCAAACTGTCAGATGATCCAGCTGAGGAGATTCATCAGGTCAGCAGCAGAGCATGACGTCTCAAAGGACTTGATGAATGACTTATAGAAGAAAAAAGTCCTAAAGATCCCGCAGAAGCTTTCAAAAAGAAGTGGGAACCTGAAGCCACGGGGGAGACGTGATAAAAGCTGGGAAAATAAAGAAGTCCAGAGATAGTTGGAGGCCCTAACTAACCGTTTCCCAGCATAGGCAACGAAGAGCTCTGACTCAGTTCGTTGGGCTTCCAAATCTGATATGAAACATGTTCCAGATAAAAGGCAGGAAAGCCTGGAGCTGCACTGAATAATGCGTGGGATCACTTTGGGGCCACTGCAGCGTTTAGTTACTCTTTTGTCAGAGCATCTATTTAAAGGCAGGACTTTCATGCAAACCTACACAGGAGAACAATATCATAGTGGAACAAACTCATCACAAACTGTTTGTTCAAGTTGCAAGAAACTGAGAGGGTAACACATTTGAAATGCCAATGATAAATTACCTTTTTATTTTACATCTGAGTACATTTTTACAACACGTCAAAGCCTCGTTGAGCGAACACTGACATCGGTTCAAGTTTCAGCAATGCATTATCCCACTTCCTCCCCTTTGGGTTTAAAAAGCAAACATCAGGTGAAGTGATACCAGCCTGGACTGTTGGAAACCCTGAGGTGCAAAATAAAACTGGACGTTTGTGACTCAGTGACAAATGTTGGCATTGATGAAGAGAAACGTACAGAAAAGGCGAAATTGAGGTGTAGCCCATTATTTTCTTACTTCAGAAGTTTTGAAAAGTGATATTTCCCACAGACGGCTCAAGAAAGTGAAACCCTGCATTGGGTCAGGTAGTTCATACGAGACAAAGTGCATTTTCAACAACCTCAACTTATTGGTAAAGTAAATACAAAAGCGCTTGCAGGTCTTGTCTGCTAAAGCGAACGGTTTCTGACTGCAAGAGGACCTTGGGGTTGAAGACGGATGTGTCAGCTGCTTCATCGATTTAAATCATTGTCCTCTGTGTTGGAGGCGAAGAGGCAGTTTGAGCGCTCCAGGCCACAAGCGGTGCTTTATAGACTCTTCCCTCCGGCTTACATAAAAAGAAGTCAGTGTGTTTAATTTATCTCTGTGACATTTATTGCCTGTTATCCGTTATCACCACTCCCATCTCCTGTCCAATCCCCAGAGGATATTTGATCGCTCGGCTCCTGAATTAGTTCCCCCTCATCCTTCCTGCGTATTTGTCAGGACACTCTTTGCGGCTCGCAAAAGCAATTCTTTCTGCTCTGGTTGGCGAAGAGTGGAGAGACCTGGGTCGAGCCGACGTTCCGTTTGCCTTTATCCTCCAGACTTTCTGCTCCCGCGTAGCCATGCTCTCGCTCCTTGAAGCCCAGACGGCGGGGCAACGGGATTTCAGTCTGCCTGAGGGCTTGCAGTGAGGACGTCCCAGCTTGAGGACAATTGGAGATGATGACTGACAGAGGAGGGTGAGAGACCGCCACCAGGCCGCCCCCTACAGGAGAGCGGCTAGCGGGGCGGCTGCTGAAGTTTTCACAGCTGCTGCTCCTGCTGGACTCGGCAAAGAAGTCCAACTTGAGGCCGTCCGCTTTGATTCTGATGGAGTCCGTGATGGTGCTTTGTGTGGAGTTGCGCTCACTGCTGCCGCCGTCCAACACCGGATGCCAGCCCAGGATGTGGCGCCGGATGATCTTTCGGAAGGTCTGCCTGAACTCTCGGATGCGGTAGGCGTAGATGAAGGGGTTGATGACGGAGTTGGCGTGGGAAAGGATGATGGCCACGTACATGATCCAACCGGGTGGGCGCGGGCACTCGGGGCAGAACAGGGTGAAGCAGTTGATGATGTGCAGAGGCAGCCAGCAGACGGCAAACAGCCCAACAATGATGGCCAGAGACTTGGCGGCCTGGACCTCCTTCTGCAGAGTGGAGCGCGACTTTTCTCCGCGAAAGGCCTCCACTTCAATCAGCTTGAGCTGGTGGCGAGCTGCCATGAAGATGCACAGGTAGATGGCCAGCATCAGCAGGAGGGGGATTAGTACACAAGCAAAGAAGTTGAAGTAAACCATGTACTCCATGTTCACTACCGCCTCAAACAGGCACTTCATCTGGCCAGGCTGGCAGGTGTTGTTGTTGTTGGTCTCAGTACTGTTGGACTCTTTGTGCCAGCCCATCATGGGGGTCAGACCGATGATGATTGACAGAGCCCAGCAAAAGGCGATGGTGCCTCGAGCCCGCTGGCTGGTCACCAAGCTGTTGTACCTGCAGAAAGAGAAAGTGCAAACATCAAGCATAAGATCCGACTTACGTCAGGTCCTATGATGTCAAGCAGCAGCGTGACAAGATCACACGGCAGGAGACGTTGCAATGCTAAAAAAAAAAGTAATGACACACCTTTTTAAGATATTTAGCCTTTTAAGCGGTTGAATTGTAACCAAAATGACCGTCTGTCATTTTCATACATCACAATTCATAGACCACATGCAAACGTTTTTTTTTTTTAAATCAATCAAGAAAACAATGATGTTCATGGGGAGAACATCATGTTCTCCCCATGAGAACATCCGAGCATTGTTTCAGAACTGCACACCTCTCGCAATGCATCTTGCTAACCAGGAGCTGGTCACTTCAGTCAGAGAAATGTTCACTGATTTCCAAACTGTGGCTGGAGTGGCGCTTGCAGTTCCACTGTCCTCGTCGGCCTCCAGAATAAAGTCAAAACAGTCATGAGAAGTTTTCTGTCTGCAGCAAAAGTCCAAGGCCTTGTGACGACAGCGTGGAAAGTCTGAAACGTTTGCTTAAATTTGGCTTCCACATCTTTTTGAACAGGGTATGCTCTCTCTCTCTCTCTCTCTCTCTCTCTCTCTCTCTCTCTCTCTCTCTCTCTCTCTCTCTCTCTCTCTCTCTCTCTCTCTCTCTCTCTCTCTCTCTCATGACAGTGATTGCAAACGCAAGATGGATTTCTGTCTTTGAGGTAAGTGGCACAGGTAAGCCTTCTCATAATGCATAAAACTTGGATGGAGAAAAACAGCAAACCCAAATGGTTACAGAGCAGAAAAGGAGGATTCGACAGAGACAGAAGTAGACCTTTGATCCAAATCCCTACTTGAAAATATATGTACTGTCAGATTTCCGACTGCTAAAAGTTGCTGTTTTTTGACTACCTCTGAAGACTCAACATCCAATATGTCTGCAAATCAAACTTAGAGGAGGCTGGAGGTATGAATCACGCTCACTACGAAAACACAAAATCATTTTTCTCCAGTTTCTAGTGCAAATATCTTTACACGCTTTAAACAAGACAAACTGAGATATGAGTAACTTTTCAGCGATACGTGGAGGAGATTGTTTTAAGTCAATATTTCTTGAACATTGGTAACAAAAATACTAGTTCCAGATGTTTGTCAATTATGACAAGTAACTCGTCTTGCTGCAAAGCTGCTTGTAAATTTGTTTTGCTTTATTTCAAGTGTGCAGAGAGGTTTGCACTAAAAACACTTTGCAAGATTTTGTGTTTTTGCAGTGTTAGCATGTCAGACAGTTTCCACAGCATGAGACACGTCACTGCTCAACCTTAACCCGCCAATATATTCCTCAGCCTGCTCGCGCTGCAACACTTAGCAAACCGTAGCGCTTTTTCAGACACCCGTAACTTGAGTGTGAAACGTGTCAGAGTCAAAAACAAAGGCGACGTTTGATTGCATAAGCAAAGAAGTACCAGCCTTTCAAAAGAGACACACATTTTGAGCCAACTGTTAGATGCTAATGCTGCTACAGCTGTTTAAAAGATACATAAAATATAAACCAATTAAGACGGGTTCAAT